GGGCTGCGAGCGCAATGTCATCACCTTTTCTTCCCTCATCTCCGCCTGCGAGCGCTCGGGGCGGTGCGACCTGGCGCTGCGGCTGTTTGACGAGATGCGGCGCGAGGGCTGCCGCCCCAACGTCGTCACCTACAACGGCCTCATCGGCGCCTGCGCGCAGGGTGCGCCGGCCGGGGCCCTGCCTGCCCGGCCTGGCCCTGCAGCCCGCGCCCCTGCCCTGCCCTGCCCTGCCCTGCCCTGCGCCGCTGCCCTGTTGCCCTGCCTGGCCTGCTGCCTGTGCATCTGCCTGTGCGTCTGCCTGGTGTGAGAGTTCGCGCGGCGCAGCCCAGGCGAGCGCAGGCAAAGCGTGCTCCGCCCCGCATCCCCTGCCTCACCCCACCCCACCTGCCCCCCTCCCCCCTCCTCCTCCCTTCCCTCCTCCCCGCAGCCGGCATGTGGGCCAAGGCCGCCGAGGTGTTCGATTCCATGATCGGCGGCGGCGTGCGCCCCGACGCGGTGACCTTTTCGGTGCTGGTGGCGGCGTACGAGCGCGGTGGCCAGTGGCGCCGCTGCCTGCAGGCCTTTGAGCAGATGCAGCAGCAGGGCTTCCGCCCCGATGCCTGCGTTTACAACGTGGTGAGCTGGAGCTGGGGTCTGAGGCAGGGCGGCTGGTTACAGCTGAGCGGGGCCCGGCCGGGGACCGCGCCGGGCGGCGGCGGCGCGCTGGGGAGGCTGCGGGGGGCCGCGGGCCGACGCCTAGGCAGCCGGCGCGTCCCTCGCAGCGGGAGTGGCCTCTTGTAGATGCCTGCTCGCGCCTGTTGCGAGCCAAAAAACACTGCGCGCTGCTCCGACCTCCCTTTGAGATGCCCCTGAAGCAAAGCTGGGCACCTCGGGAGCAGCTGGGCAGCACACCGCAGCTGGGCAGCGCCCCAACCCCTGCCCGCCTGCCCTGACCGCGCCCCTGAACGCGCCCCAACTCCTGCCTGCCTGCCTGCCACCCCCTGCCCCGCTCCACAGGTGCTGGATGCGCTGATCGGCAACGGCTTGGTCGCCGCCCAGGCCAAGGCCGTGCAGCTGTGCGCGGCGGCGCACCGCCAGGGGCACCTGCGCCTCACCCCCGTCTCCGCCTCCGAGTGGACCGCCACAGCCTACACCTACGGCGCAGCCTTCATCACCACGCTGCGCTGGCTGGCGGAGATCAGGTGAGGGCGCCGGCGCCGCGACCACAGGGGGCGTGCGCAGGCTCCCCGCGAGCGCTGTGTGTGTGTGTGTGTGTGTGTGTGTGTGCGCGCCCAGGCGGCTGCCGCGTGCCCGTGCTTCCCCGGTTCTCGTCTCCCTGTGCTGCAAGTGGTGGTGCGCTGAACACTCTGCGTTGAGTTGAGCCGCCGCTGCCGCCCGCCGCCTTGTCGCAGGGAGGCGCCGCCGTCTGCCGCCATGCCGCTGGCCTTCTCTGCTGGTGCCACCACCGGCGGCGGCCTGCCTGGCCAGCCGCTGCAGCCCGTCAGCCTGCTGCTGACGCGCGGCAAGCACTGCCGCGCGGAGCAGCCCTTTGCCGCCATCCAGCCCGCGCTGGCCGCCTGCCTCGCCGCCTTCTCCGCTCCTGTCGCCGTCAAGCTGACGGGGCAGGGCCTGGCGCTGCACGCCGACGGCCTGTCGCTCACAGCCTGGCTGTCCACGCCCGGCGCGGCGGCGCTGCTGTCGCCGCTGGACGCCGCCGCGGGTGGCGGCGGCGCCGCCTCCGCCTCCGCGACCCCCGTGCTGTCCGCCGCTCTCCTGGCCGACGATGTGGCAGCCGACATGCAGTGCAGCAAGGCGTTTGCGGCGGTCATGGAGCACGAGGCGGCGCACGGCGGCGGCGGCGGCGGCGGCGACGACCCGCTGGCGGCGCCCGCCGCGGCCGCCCTGCGCCAGCGCCTCGCATCAGACATCGTCACCCTCAGCCATTCGCTGGACGTGCAGGTGTGTGCGAGGGCTGCCAGGGCGCAGCCGCCTGCAGCTGCTGCTGTGCACGTCCCTTGCCGCCGACCCCTGCTCCCTGCCTGCCAGCCCCGCCAGCCTCCCTCGCCCCTCCTCCCAGCCGCCTGTCGCCTCCCGTCCCTGCCCTGCCTGGACACCACAGGAGGAGACGGCACTGGATGCGGTGCAGCTGTGCGGCCAGGTGGCGGCGGCCGGCATCCAGCTGGAGCCGGGGCTGGCGCCGCTCTACGCCGCCGCCATGCTGCTCATGTGCTGCCGCCAGTGTGAGTCTCCCAACGGGGTCCTTTGCCGTGCGGCGCGCCGCGCTGCGTGCGCCGCGTGCGCTGTGTGCCCGCCGCGTGCGCTGTGCCCGCACCCTGCCCGCCTGCCGCGCTTGGCGCACATAGCCCTCTCTCCCGCCACCAGCCTCCCAACTCGCGCCTTTGCTGGGTCGCGCCTCCCCTC